AAAGAAAACACATGGCCGGCAAGCCACTCCCACCAGGTCACATGGCTGGCAAGCCACTCCCACAAAGGAGGCCACACCCACAGAGTAGATTCCAATTTTTTTTGAAACTCACCACTGATCTCAAGTGATGTGGCTGGAATTCAACCTTTCCAAAACTTGTTTTCAAATTATCCAGTCATCTAAATGCAGTCCATTGGAAATTTCTGGTTGAGACTTTCCAAATAATCTACAAGTAGTCCTCCACTTACAACCATTAGTTTAGCCTTCTAAGTTGTAACAGCACTAAAAAAGTTACTTAACTCCAGTTCTTACCCTTCTGACCATCGCAGCATCCTCCGTGATTTACATGAGCAAAATTCAGCCACTTGGCAAAATGTCCTTTATTTACAATGGTTGCAGCATTCTCGGGTCATGTGAACTGCCATTTGCAACCTTCCTAACTGACTTCCGATGAGCAAAGTCAATGGAGGAAGCCAGATTCACTGAACAACTGCATGATTCACTTAACAAGCTGCAGTGATTTACTTAACAACTGTGGCAAAAAAAAAAGCCCAACTATGGATTAAAGTCAGGTAAGGTAAAGTTTTCCCCTGTCCAGTTGTATCTGTCTCTAGGGGAGCGGCGCTCATCTCCATTTCTTAGCTGTGGGAACTAGCGACGGCTGAAGACACTTTCCGTGGTCACATGGCCAGCATGATTATATGTCGAAGCACACAGAACACTGTTATCTTCTCACCGAAGTGGTACCTATTTATCTACTTGCATTTGCATGCTTTTGAACTGCTAGGTGGGCAGGAGCTGAGGCAAGGAACGGGAGTTCACGTTTATCTTGCAGCCCTCAGGTCTCGAACCTGGGCCGTCAGCTTTCCAGTGTTTAACCTCTGAACCATCAGTTCATCAGGTACAACTCACTTAACGACCGCCTTGCTTAGCAATGGAAATTCTGATCCCAACTGTGGTTGTAAGTTGAGGTCTACCTGTACTGATAAACAAATACTGTACAGGGAAAACTTTGTTTACATGATTTATTACTTTTAACTGGCAGCACTTCACTGGCTCAGTAAAATGTATATGAAATAATGATCATAACTTGTTCCTAGCTTTTTAATCCAAGAGTGAACAGCATATGGTGATATTTTTCATGCTGAGTCATTAGTTTGGTTTAACACACCACATGAACATGTTCATCATCCGATTATGTGTAAAGTTAATACACATATATGGGTGTGAGCAACATTGCATAGCTGTTACATGACATGCCCCGTTTCTGTGTTGATTTTGGTAGGATGAATATTCTGCAAGGCGATAGGTTTGTTCAGAGTGCAGAATGGTGAGAGTTCAAGCTGAACTGAATGTTCATTCCATTTATTTAGGCAGCAGCTCCCCGTCAAGTTTCGCCTCTTCCAAGAGAATTCGCACAGCCTACACCCAAACGCAGCTGGTGGAACTGGAAAAGGAGTTTCATTTTAACAGGTACCTCTGCCGGCCCCGCCGACTGGAAATGGCCCAGCTTCTGAGGCTCTCTGAGAGGCAAATCAAGATTTGGTTTCAGAACAGACGAATGAAGTACAAGAAAGACAGCAGGATCAAGGGCACCATCTTGGCATCGCCCAATAACCCCTTTGAAGTGGGTGACTATTATGGGCACATGGAGGCTGACTACGAGATAGCGCCACCAAATTCCTGCAGCAAATCCTTGGAAGAGATTGACAGTTCAGCAGGGTACACAGCTCCCCTCTGTAGCAGCCCTGTGACTTCAATCTCTTTGGACTATGGCCCTTTCTTTGGACCGGGAGAAAGCCATCCTTATGGACTTCCAGTTCTGCAAGGGAGCCCAAGAGCGATGGGAGAAAATTACCTGGGAAATGTGCCTGGGGCTGACTCTTTCTTCAGCTACCCTGATTACTCCTCTAGAAACCTGGAGTACAGCTGTGCTGCTGAAATCCCAAGCCATCCCCAGCTTGGGCCATCCAACTCGTATCCCATTTACACAGATTTAACCACACATCCTGTGCCTCAGGGAGATTCTCAGGGACCTGTAAATCTTATGCATTTGTGAGAGCTGCCTGGACGGAAGCAGAGCAGGGGAAATTGCTACGGTCCTATTATCTCATTAAAACAAATACCTCTAAGTACAACCAACAGTATTCTTCCCTTCCTCCCTACCCACCCATTACCTCCTATTTATTTAACTGTATTGAAGTAAAATTTATTGGCTGGGGAAAGGTAAAAGCCACTGTTGGATGTTTTACTCAAGGAAAGACCAGTCTGATTAATAATAATAATAATAATAATAATAATAATAATAATAATAATAATAATAATAATAATAATAATAATAAAAAAAAAACAAAAAAAAAACCACACCATCGA